TCCCTATACAAGTGTCAATGTTCCCCTTCTGTAATTTTATTTTTAAATTTTTAATAAAATCTAGTCATGTGACAAAAATGTGACTACGAAACGAAAGTAATAGAGGAAAATCATCCATATTTCCCACTAATACACTTTGTCCTACGTGATAAGCACATGAGAGTTATATAATATAATGTGTGTGTGTGTGTGTGTGTGTGTGTTCGTATAGTAAAAATTGAGATGAAAATGTAAGAAAGTAGAGTTTTTGAAATAAATAAATAAAATGCGACAAAAAAATAAAGAGAAAGAAAGATGAATAGACAGAAGACTGTATCATCATGAAAACTAAAGTTTCGTAATTCCAATTTATACAAAACCTTAGTTCGTCTTCTTAATTGTTCACAATCTGCGTTTTATTTTAGTCTAATATAGTCATATTTTGATGTAATTTTGGGATAAAATGTATATTGATGAAAAATGTAGATGATTTTTCTTTCTTACCTTCATGTTGTAGTCACATTCTTATTACATGATTAGATTCTGTTAAAAATTTAAACAATTGAGTAACTGAAAGGAGATATTGACATTTGTATAGAGACCAAAATGAGATTTTACCAAAAGTATAGCAGATTAACTGTCACAATTTCATGTGTAGAGACCAAAGTGAGATTTGATCAGAAGTATAGAGGGTTGATTGTCATGATTTTATGTGTAGAGGTCAATGTGAGATTTGGTTCAAAATACAGGAATGCAAAATGTAATTTATCCCGAATTTAATTTATGTGTAAACATATAAAAAATTAATGTACTTAAGACTTACCCAAATCATTTTACTCGTGTCATCTTACTTAATTAAAATGATCAATCATATGAAATTCTTACGTTATGTTTGGTTGAAGGATTTGGAAAGAGAAATGAAAAAGAATGTGAAATGTGAATAAAATATCCTTACATTCAACTTAGTTTCATATACATTTTTTCTTTTTCTTTTTTTCTTCCCTAAATTCCTTTTCAAATCTCCTAATCAAACACAATATAATGTCTCTTAAATTTTTAACATGCATGTGCGAGACTAATGCTTCTATCAAGTGTGAAACAAGTGAAATTTATTTTTAGACAAATAAGATTAAAAAGAAAAAGAAAAAAAGCAGAACTATAGTGGCTAAAAAAGGTTCGGAGATTCTATGTTCTCCTGTTATACAAATTTACAACTCTTTTCACTGAGCAATGCTCCATTCATATCCCTACCAGTGATTATTCTTAATTTTCCATTCTATCATTTGTTTAACCTATCAATCTTACCAAGTGTTTGGCTCAAAACATAATCCTACCCTACATCATTGAGTTGTCTCAAGCAATGATAGAGACTTCATTTTTAAAGGACCCTCACAACCCCTATAGTGATCCACACCATTCATGATGTGGATCTCACACATACATGAGTGAGCCCCACACATCATGAATAGTATGGATCACTATGAAAGTTATGGAGGTCCTCAAAAAGGAGTTCTTACTCATTTTTCCTACATTGCTAAGTATACAAGTTCGAACACAAATTAAGGTCACACATATACAACCTCTAAGTCAAAACGAACCATCTTTATGCAATCAATTGGCTATAAGCCCATTTCTTTATTAATTGATGAAATGGCATGAGGATATGCAACGGCAGAAGGCACGGGGAGTTCTTGCATGGTGGGCGGATTGGACAGAGTTTAAATAATTAGAAAATAATATTTATTATTGGCTAAGTGGACTAGTTAAAACTAATAAAAGACAAGTTATCTAAATTTAAAATGCTTCCTATTTTTCATAAACCCATATAATTTCACTATTTTTAGATTTTTTTTTTTAAATATAATTTCACAGCAATCAAATAAATATGATTTATTGATGATTTTTTAACATGGTAGTAGATGAGATTTTTAGATGGGCACTACATAGGGCATTAAATTTGGTAGGGCACCTTTGTACAAAGTTAGCTTTCCGAATTTTTGAAAGGCCAAATTCAATTTGACGGGGGGGGGGGGCATTAGGGAAGATTCTACTAACACATAATAATTAACACATAATAAATTTATCTGTATACTATAAATGCGCATTGTAATACTTCTAGGAAGAAATTCTTATACAAATTGAATTAGGCATAATTATTTGTTGGTCTTATTGAGTGGATTTTTTTGACGTGTTTATGTCTTTAGAATTGAAACAATTATAAAGGAATTAAATTGATATGTCATTTAATGAAAGTGTGGGAGAGAGTGATGAAACGTCGATTGCGAAATATAACAGATGTGTCATAGAATCAATTTGGATTTATGTCTGGTAGGTTAACAATGAAAGCGATTTATCTTTCGAGAAAAGTAATAGAAAAATATAGAGAGAAGAAAAAAGACATTCATATGACTTTTATTGATCTTGAGAAAGTATATGATAGAGTGCCTCGGAATATAATCTGATAGGTGTTAAAGAAGAAATGGGTGACAAAAGGCTACATTGATGTAATTAGATACATGTATAAAGGCATGGTGACCACTATTAGATCACCGGCTAAAGAGACAAGTAAATTTTCAATTACTGTGAGATTACCCTAAGAATCAATATTAAATCCTTATATTTTTGCATTAGTTATGGATGAATTAACGAGAAATATTCATAATGATGTACCATGATGTATGCTTTTTGTAGATAATATTGTGTTAGTGGATGAGACTAGTGAAGAAATTAATATTATGTTGGAGACTTGGAGAGAAACAATTAAATATAAAGGATTTAGGATAAGCAGAATTAGGACAGATTACATGAAGTGTAATTTTAGTAACAGTAATAATGAAAACAAAAGAAAAGTAAAAATTAAGAACTAAGAACTACACGAGAGTGAACATTTTTGTTATTTACAAATTATTATCATAATGCTTGGGGAGATTGGAGTAAATGTGATCTATAGAATTGAGGCAGAATGACTTATGTAGAGGAGTGTATCTAGGATACTGTGTGATAAATAAATACTCATTAGACTAAAAGGAAAGTTTTAGAGAACAGTTATTAGATCAGCAATATTGTATGTGATGAAATGTTAAGTAACTAAGAAATAACATGTAGATAAAATGAGGATATTAAGGTGAATGTGTAGCAAAACTAGAAAAGATAGAGTTAAAAATGAGTTTATTGGTGAATGAATATGAGTAGATAAGTTGAGAGAGAATAAATTGAGATGGCTTGGTCATATACAATGAAGACCAGCAGAGGCAGTAGTGAAGAGATGTAATACAGTGACGGTAGATGAAAGTGTTAGAGAAAATGGTAGACCTAGATTGACGTAGACTAGTGATAGCCTTTGATAAAGTAAAATGAAGAAGAAAGATTCATATATCCAATTTCATTTGATGAGACTTAAGACTTAATTTAATTTATTTATACCTTTTCTTGATATTGAGAAACTTTGGACACTTTTTAGATGCATTTTGTATTTGTAGAATAATCATTTGATATTGGTAATGATGCTGAAAAATGTATCAAGTAATAAATAATTAAGACATTTTGAATTTTATTTATGAGTTTAATTTATTTGTCTTAGATTTTATTAAAATATATGTCAAAAGTGCAAGTTCAATAATATTTTTTTCAAAAACAAAAAATTACAGTGATAAATTTGTCACCGAAAGTTTGAATAGAACCAATGGCAGAGCCAAAAATCTTATCCAAATGAGTCATTGAACAAATTATCATCATGTCATAATATAAAATTTTTAATTATACACAATCTTTCAAAATCAACTTCTACATAATATACTTTAATTTTATATATTTCCAATTTGATTGACAAAAATAATTAAACTTGTAAAATAACATATAAAAACAAAAATCAGGGCATAAGTACTTTTGTTTTAACAAAAATCTAACAAAATCCACACCTTTTAGGATTGTCTTTTTCGAAAATCGCAACATGATAGCCTCATTATTTAGAATATAGCATTTTCCTATTATTTTATTATCAATCATTTCTTTTTCGATCTATGTGACCAAAAATAATAAATAAATAAAGCAGAAAAAATTTCAAAAAAATCCAAACAAAATGCAAATGAATCTTCAAATATCAACCTATGATTAACTTGACTACATATACACACGCTTATCAAAATCTTGATTCAGATCTTACGATTCATTTGAGTACAATCAATCTGAATCATATAAAAAATTTCTTATAGGTAAGATATTTCGATTCTGATAATGAGATCTTATGGGATCATAAAATTCCGATCTGAATCTGATCCCATCCGATCTAATTTACAAACCTTGTTTTTATATTATATGACATTTTATTATAAATTATACATTTGTTGTCTAAATACCAATTTATGTGATCAAAATAAATAATATAAATTAAGTAATATTGAATCAAATAGATTAAAAAAAACAAACTAAGAAACAAACATTCAAATATTGCAGTAATTTAAGAAAATTAACTAGGCAAAAAAACAAACCTAACTTTAGTAGAGTCTGAAGAGGGCAAGATAATTTTAACTTTATCTCAAAAAATTGAGAGTATTTTTGTGATTCAAATCTGCTCTACTAGCGATGCTAACGACAAACCTTATCATTCGGTTAAACTGCTCTTTTAAGTTCTCAATCTATTTTCGTATCTAACTATGTTAAATATTTTTTCTTCACTTTTTATGCATTATTTTAGATTGTAAAATTTTTTGTTATAAAATTCTTCTTCTTCACCTTCTTTTTTGATGAAATACAAAACTTTTACCATCAATTTTTTTATTGTATAATATTATATATACATGTTACATGAAGTATTATATTTTTCACAATATCTTCACTCTTTTTTTTTTAAATAGAATATAGACTCATTTTGTGTATACTTTTTAAGAAATATTTATTTAAATTAAATTATTATATAATTTGTCTTTTTCGGTAGAATCTTACGATCCTCGATCAGATTCTACGATCCAATCTCATGAACACCTCTAACAATCCAACGTAAGACCATGAATATATACCATCAATAAATATTAACGGCGGAACGCCAAGCTCTCATCTTTGTATTTCCAAAAAAAGAACTCTAACCTTTGTATCTCAGAAGTCAATACCCCAAAGTAGTCTGGAGATGCAAATAGGGTAGGTGGTATTTGCAGTTTGTAGGTTAAATTTTTTTATTTTGTTTTCCAATCAAAATCTTGAGGTGGCAAAAGAGAATTCAGCTTGTTAGTTGAAATTTGATTCACAGATTTTCTCAAAATTACACGGACTGTCCTGCTGCAGACTGCTGAGATTGTAAGTTACAGTTGCTGCTTCACAATTTGTTTCAGTCAATGTCATGATGGGAATGGGAGAATCATGCAGCTTGCTTGTTGAAATTTGATCCCCAAATTTTCTCTTCAAGGATTCTGTCAAATCATTAAATGTTGTTAGCACAGAAAAATCTTCTAAAAGATCATCAAATAAAACACTAGCACAAATCACAACTGAAAATGATGCAACTATGAAATAATCAGAGATAGAGAAAGCAACCCTCAATGGCTACAAAGACATCAATGATGCAACTCAACAAGGCAGAATCAAATAGAGGTATTTTTTCCATCGTGAAACACGTCCTTCGTTCTGCCTGTATCTCAAAATATTTTCCAAAGAGACTCAATTTCAGCAAATAAAATTCCCATTGATTTTTATCTATTGTGTAGTGATGCCAAAGCAAATAGAGAGGTTACAGAGCAGCACAAGGGAAGGATTATCATCAATCCAGTATAAATCCATTTTGCAGTTCAATTACAGTTTAGAAGTAAAGTAATTGGAAAATTTGGCACATGCATAGTCCATGGTTGGTAAATATTAGAAGGATGGCAAGGTTCAATTGTGATCCTGGTATTAATTTTTGTTGTGGTTATAGTAATTACCCTAATCAGAATAACTGTGCTTCTCTTCCATAGATTATATGCAAAGGTTGAAGTCTTACTATAAAAAGTTGAAAACTATAATATTCATAAAAAAAAATAAAAAAATAAAAATAGAATTGCTAAGATCAGAACCATAATAGTGAACTTTCAAGTCAATGAAGAGTCTTAAACTAGCTCTCCTGCATAACACAAAATACATATTAAGTAGCTTCGAGATAGTCTATCGGTTATATCTAGCGTAATAACAATTATGCTTTACTGCTACTTCTGAAGCATTATATGGGACAAAAACAAAATTTACAGAAACCATATTTCTTGTAAATTTATAAGAGGAGAAGTATGCATACCAACTCTTTCATGTATGACAGCAGCATATTCAGCACCACCACTATTTTGTGCAAAGAACAAAATATCGCGATACATCGCAATTGATGGTTGAATTTTTGCATCCTCCATCCATTGCAGTACCTGCATGAAAATTTTGCAGGTATTGTTGCACACACCAAAAATTTAAAACAATCAGATGTAATAGGGGATGCTTTTTACTAAATGACTACAGAAAACTCTCTTGGAATGCAACAGTATTCAACTATATTATCATTTTCTTCTACCTTTCTGTTATTTTCATTAAGAATAACAATAAAAAGAAAAATAATTGTTGGTCCCATCAATCCAAGGTGCTAAGAGAGTTCTATTTGGTACAACCTTAACCTTCGGGTTAATTTCCATGAAGTGCCTGCCCTCAAACTTAAACCTACATTTTCATACTTTACATCCCAAACTTGTACTATCACACCAAGCAATGAAAATTAAAACCCCAAAGCAAAAAACTATACCTCATATCCATTCACAACATTAGGGCACAAATTACTTCATTTGGAACATATAGATATATCATAAAACAATCACTTAATATTAGGTTTCAGCAAAGATACTTGAAATTGCAGACTGAGTGTTTGTGCCTAGGCGGTTGAATAAGCCAAACTGAAAAACTATCAACCAATTTTGATTTACCAAGTAATCATTAAGTTTAAATTCAACATTCATTAGAGATAAAAAAATATTTAACACAAGAAAAATATAAAAAACAAATATGAAAAAGTTTTTATGTGGAAACATCAAACAGAAAACTCCCCAATTACACAAATCATGATCCCAATCAACCCAAAATCAATTACTGAATCAAGAAGTTACAAGACTTAAGACGCTAGGAATTACGACCCCTTACTCGGTTCACCTAACAAAAAATCACTTCTCGCATTTGATCTCCACTGCACGTGGCTCTTACCTAATCAGCTTCTTCTGATCCAATAGCATCTCCTTTCTCTGATCTCTATATCCAACAACCAATGATTGAAGAGACAATGCAAGTGTGGGATTTTTTTGGAAAGACTAAAATCTAGAACATGTGATTTGAAAATTTCTTCTTCCTAGATTAAGAAAAACATGGGAATCCGCCAATATGGGAGAGAGGGGCAGGGGTAGAGGCAGGTCAAATTGCCATCCCTACGTTGAACATCTTCAATCTTCAGCAATTAGACACTCTGACCTCTACACTTAACCTAGAAACTTAGGATATGTTTCATTTACAGATACAATTGCACGAATGCTTCATAATTTTCAAATGTTGTCCAGTTCATTAAAAGAAATTCAAACAATTAGCACTATGTCGTCAGTGGAAGTAAATTCAAGAAACAAGATATGCATCACTTCCCATATTACGAGATATAAAAGGTAGCACAACAGAAGTTTGATGCAGTTACCTCAACATATTTCCTCCAATTTCCAGCAGCCAAAAGATTCTTCAACAAAATTGAATAAGTAGAGAAGGTGATTTCTGCACCAGTTGCTACTATTCTATAGAACAACTGCAAATGTGATAAAAACCGGAAGAAATGTGTCACAACATTGAGAGGTCAATTTGAATTCTAATAACCTTATTAGGATTCCTCTGCATCGCATAAGAATGACCAAATAAGCTAAACAAAATCATCAGATATATAACAGTGCTTATAGAACTTCTTGATTGAACATACATGAAATAAAAAGAAAAAAATGAATCAAAACAGAACAAAAGCAGTATTACTTATATGAGGCAATCTTTGAGCTTTGCATTGTTATATTATTTTCTATACTCAAAAAGATAGTTCAATTACCTTCATCATAGTCTCAATCTTCCCAGATTTTCCAATAAAATGCAGAAGTTGATTCAGAAGTCCAACTGAAATAACAGGGAATGAAGGTTCCATCATTTTTATCAGATCCATTGTTGTCCTCCAATCTCGTAGCCTTCAGACAAAATTCAAATGTCAGTCTTGGTAAATAATAACGCAGTACAAGAATCTATGATACAATTAGAAAATCTATCATTCCAGAGACTGCCAGCCTTGTAGGTTGTGGTATGGTACCTAATTGGTCCCTCAACGTTGATGGCAAGGGCTCAAAGTTCTCCAGTTGTCTAGTCCAGGAAAAAATTGATGAAAAAGAGGTTTATCTCTATCAATCCATGCCTAAGGGAGATTTTCGATTCACATACATTGTTGGAGTTTGATTTTGCTTGGATTCATCGTATGGCCATTTAAAAATGGGTTGAGATGCTTTGAAACCTGAGAGGACACCTACGAAGCATGGGGACACTCCAAAATAGGCGCCGTAGTGGTGTCAGACACGGGGACACGAACGGGACACGCCAAATGACATTTCCCTTTAATTTTATTATTTTTTTTCAGGGGGCAAGGTAGGGACACGGCAAGGACACAGGGACATGACAATTGGCGTGGCGTGTCCCTTTAGTTTTATTATTTTTTTTGTAGGAGACATGCGTCTCTAAATATGGATAATCTATTAATTTGTTTAAATGTAGTGGTTTATATATATACGTATATATGTGGAATTAATGTTAGTTTCCATTAATTTTGATTGTTTGGTAACATAATATTAATCTACATAGCAAATATATATAAAAATAAATTTTAAAAAATTTGTCATGTCCACTGCTGCGTCCGTGTCTCCAAAAAGAGGTTTATCTATATCAATCCATGCCTAAGGGAGATTTTCGATTCACATACATTGTTGGAGTTTGATTTTGCTTGGATTCATTGTATGGCCATTTAAAAATGGGTTGAGATGCTTTGCAACCTGAGAGGACACCTATGAAGCATGGGGACACTCCAAAATAGGCGCCGTAGCGGTGTCAGACATGGGGACACGAACGGGACACGCCAAATGGCATTTCCCTTTAATTTTATTATTTTTTTTCAGGGGGCAAGGTAGGGACACGGCAAGGACACAGGGACATGACAATTGGCGTGGCGTGTCCCTTTAGTTTTATTATTTTTTTTGTAGGAGACATGCGTCTCTAAATATGGATAATCTATTAATTTGTTTAAATGTAGTGGTTTATATATATACGTATATATGTGGAATTAATGTTAGTTTCCATTAATTTTGATTGTTTGGTAACATAATATTAATCTACATAGCAAATATATATAAAAATAAATTTAAAAAAATTTGTCATGTCCACTGCTGCGTCCGTGTCTCTATTTTTTTTGAAATCACCAGGTCTCGTGTCCAAGGCCGTGCTTCATAGGAGGACACCCTTCAACATTCCCACCTTCCCCTAACCCAAAAAGTTACGCAACTTTCACGGGTTTTGATTTCATACTTGATTTTTGTTTAATACACTGATATACTATTAAAGACCCGCTTTATTTTCCTCTCTTTTTCTTTACATTGTTTTTCGCGTTTCCATGACAGTTGCCTTGTCCTTTACATTCTTTTTTATTTTCACTAAATTTCTCGTGACGAGGCACTCCTCCTCTTGATGAGTTTTACAAATTTCCCATCATTATCCAGACAATAGAAAGAGCAGTCGACTGCTCTGTGTTGATTTGGTCAGGACTGTTGCACTAGATTAAGTGAAGTTTTAGGGCTTGCCTTCCCTTATCCTTGCTTCTTGTTAATAATTTATTTGTACAAAATGAATTGGTAAGTTTTCCAGTTGGCACAGTTTGACACGAATGCTAGATGGGATGGCAATAGGAGACTATCTACCGGTTATAGCCCGGGAATTTGGACTGAGGATCGTAACCTCTGAGTAGTCCCGATATTGTATCTCGGAGATGAAGGGAGACAACTTGATCGTATGAACCTTAGAAACAATGATTATGTTATGAGTGGCAAATGTTGCCTGGTCTCAGTTGACTTGGAAAAATTGTTAAGAAATGATATGGTTTAATTCAAACCATGATATATTCTATTATGTGACTGTCATTGCATGCATATGCATAGTTATGGATCCATGGAAAGCATGTTGTTCTTTTGCTCACCCCCTACATTTTAGGTATGAATCAGAGACTGACACCTTAAGCTTGGAGAGGAATTACACCTTTTGGCTGAAGATTGTATACCTAATATTAATTTGAGGCTACGGCCTTTTTGTTATTTTGTCATGTAATTAATCCCGGTTCTATAAATCAAACGATTGATTAATGAATATTTATCCTTTCCCTTATTTCTTTCATTTCATTTTTAAAATATATGGAGGTTGTGAGTTTAATTAGTATGAGAAATGAATTTCTACTCATTCAAATTTCACTTAGGTTAATTAGTTTTTGCCTAATCAATCTTTTTGAAAATTAGGGCATTACAGGGGGAGTGTACGTATCGTCACAATTAGTATCCCAGCATCCAATATACGTGCGAGAGATATGTGAACCAATGTCTAGTATTAATAGATCTGATGTAGCCGATCTTTGGGGTCATATTAAAGCACACAACACCATTTGGCTATAATGTCGTGATATATCAGCTAGATGGTTACGCAGATTACACTATAAAGAGAGTTAGTTACATTTGCAAATGGCAAGTCAATAACTATTGTTCATGGAGTTCAGAATCAAAAATGCTAGAGACTCCAAAAATGCTATTGTGTACAATTTTTGGTAATTTTTTTATTTAAGCTTAAAACTTGAGGCAGAAGATTGAAAACAAATTGAACTTTTTTATTTTTTTATTATTATTTTTATTTGCTGGGCTAAAGCAAATTGAACTTACATGCTACAGGCCGAGACCATTTCAAAGAAGGTAGCATCATTAAAGGGGATGTCCTTGTCTCGCATAAACTCTGCAAGAGACAATACTTTGGCTGGTTGGCATCCTTTATTGAAAGCACTCATCAGAGATGAACAAGCAATAGCATCCGGTTGGACATCATTCATTTCCATTTCTAGAAGTATTGCGGATGCTTTTTCCCAATTCTCTGCAATTAGAGAAGTCTCAAGTTTAGCTTGTCATGTATATCCTTCTAGTCATTGTCAGTTAATTAAACTACTTACCCACAGCGTTATATGCATGTATCATTGTGGTATATGTAATAACATCAGGACAACAACCTTCCATCTTCATCATGGTGAACATAGATTCTACTTCAGTGAGTTGACCCTGAAATTTGTATACAGATGAGATTCTTTTCAAGTCATGTAAGTGATTACTCAGAGATAAGTTTTCCAAAACCTTGCCTGTTTACTGTAGGCACAGATCGCAGATGAGTACACCTCCTTAGACAATGGAATTTTTAAATCTGTCATCTCCCTAAGAAATTCAAGAGCTTCATCATACTTTGACATCTTACAACAACCACTCATTAGCACAGTGTAAGTAACAGAATCAGGTATAACTTTCTTTTTCCTCATAGATCCATATAACTTTAAAGCTTTCTCATACTCCCCCACATTCATGTAACTTCCAATGGCAGAGTTATACGCAATTGTGTTCAATTTGATTCCTCGCATTTCAGCAGCTGAAAGTATGGAATCAATCTTGACCTTTTGACCACAACGCCCACAGGCAGTCAAGAGGGTACAAATTGAGACAATGTTTGGCTGCATCCCATTTTGTTCCATCTCACGCAGCACTTCAATGGCTTTGGCTAGAAACCCATTAGATCCATAGGCATCTATCAGTGCATTGTAACTTACCACATTTGGCTTCCAATTGTTTCGTTTCATCAGGTCAAATATTTCCCGGGCCTTTTCAGGTTGCTCAGATCTTCCATAAGCATTGAGCAAAGATGTATAAGACACAACATCTGGTCGAAAACCATTTTGCTTTATCTTGTTGAAAACTGACAGGGCCTCTTCACTCATACCATGTGAAGCATAGGCACCTATCAAAGCATTATAAGAAACAATATTGGGTTGTAAACCTTCTGCAATCATGGTGTTAAAAACAGTCTTGCAGTTCTCAATCTGCCCACTAACAGAATACAAATGAATCATGCTAGTGAATGTCACAATATCAGGATGACACTCTGCTCTTTTTTCCCTCATTGAATTGAAAATATCAATAGCTTTCCCATAATGTCCAAGCTTTATCAGGCAATGTATCACAATATTAAGGGTAGTGGTGTCGGGACGGATATTTGTCCCTTTCATTAGTTCAAAATAGGACAGGGCTTTCAAATACTGAGCTCCACTTTTGTAAGCAGACAGAACAATATTGTGTGTCACCAGATCAGGGCCAACTCCATTTTCTGTCATCTTCCTGCAAACTTGCAGAGCTTCTCTCCATTTTCCACTAGATCCACATGCATTGATCAAGTTGTTATATGTGGATCGACTTGGAGGAATCTGCACAATAAATTAAATAAGCTAAGGTCACAGATGCATTATGTAGAATGATGGACTCAGAGACTGGAGAAACTGCACAAATAAATTATATAAATAAAGGTCAAAGATCTATCCTGTAGAATGATGGCATCAGAGACGTATTATGAATTTCAGATAATGACAACATATAAAATAATGACAGATAATATTCCATAATAAGAATAAACAAGATAAAAATTGTTAGTAGAATAGTTATGCATGATGCCAGAACAATATAAAAAATTCACGCATTCCTAAATAACAATTGTAATCAATAACCACTTACCATAGACCACCATGACTAACTAAATTGTTTTATGCATTCAAAACCTTCAAGATAGCAAGAAACCTAGGATTGCTATAGAATTCAGCAAGGGACAGTTCAATTTAATACCAAGGCAACTAACTAGGCAGATAAAAAATGATACAACCCCCAAGGCAAAGTGGTGCTGAGTAAGAGTTTCATAATTTCTCTCAAAAAGTTATTTACTCGCAAAATTGCCAGCACAAGTCAACTATAAAGTAACCCTTCAAAAAAAAAAAGTCCAGTATAAATTAGTTCCTGAGTTGGTATATTTCTAACATGATGAAGATCTGCAGATGTCACATCCCATTAGAAAAATTAAATAAACAAAACACTATTTGATAAGTTGAAATACTTCTCCAACTAAAGAATCTACGTCTCAGTTCCTTCAATTCAAGTGATATATGGTAATAGAGAGAACTCTGACCAATTTTTATTTTTATTTTTTTCCACTTTTCAAGTCACTGACCTTTTCAATTAATAACTTATATATCAAAACTCTTATAGGCTCTTCCCTTTCCAGTGCTACATGCAAAGAATAGATGCTACTCCAAATTAACTAGACATATTTTCAAACTACTTAAATCTTTTGTTCCCACAAACCACACTGATTTCCTTCAACAACCCTGTTAATTTAAATCAGATCATGCAAAAACTAGAGCTAATCCTTCCAAAACTTCACCTGAAATTCTAGAATGATCATAATTGTTCCCACAAACTACACTGGTAAAGGTCCTTCTAGTGCTCATGATCAGATTATCTGTGATTATTGTGGGAAAGAACGGCATGATCGGGAACCCTGCTAGAAGTTACATGGTCCACCTAACCGCAGAAGAGGCAATGGCCGTGGTGGGACTAGTGACCGTGGTGGGGCTGTTCACTCTCATGCACACCTGTCAGAATCCTTTACTGGTACTTTGGGTGATCCTACAACTTTTTTCCACGATGAGTTACATACTCTTCGATGTCTGATGACTCGGCTTAATTCTTCTCCTGCTCCTACTCCTGCTCCTACTTTTGATCCTCCTTCCTCCAACTTTGCTTCTACAGATACTCCTACACATGCCTTGAGTGTTGTCTCTCCCTTCCCTTGGATTATTGACTTCGGTGCTACTGATCATATGACAGGTTTGTCCACCCTTTTCCACTCTACTCTCCTTGTTCTGGCAAGGATAAAGTAAGAGTGGCTGATGGGTCTTTATCCTCTATGTTTGGGACTGGTTCTATTTATTGTTCTCCCTTTATTTCTCTCTCCTCTGTTCTTCATGTTCCTAAATTTTCTATTAATTTACTGTCTATCAGTCGTATTACCAATTCCTTAAATTGTTTTGTAACTTTTTTCCCTTCTCATTGTGTTTTTTAGGAACTGGGTACGGAAAGAACGATTGACAGTGGTAAAGCACACAGGGGACTGCATTTTCTGGAGAGCAGATCTTTTGTCACCAATCAAGCTCTTCAAACAACCAACACTTAATCTCTTTCTCTATTACATCAGTGGCATCGGTGTTTAGGCCATCCCTCTATTTCAATTTTGAATAAACTTTTTCCTAGTTTAGTGAAGGATTGTGATAGGAATAATTTTCATTGTGATGTTTGTGAGTTTGCAAAGCATAAAAGATTTTGTTATCCTTCAATAAATAAAAAAAGTTTGTTTCCATTTATAGTTATTCATTCTGATGTATAGGGTCCCTCTCGTGTTATGTCTGTGTCTAGTTATCGTTAGTATGTCACTTTTGTTGACTATTATTCTCGTGTCACTTGGGTTTACTTGCTTCGCACCAAAAGTGAGGTCTTTTCTTGCTTTCAAACATTTCATAATATGGTACATACACAGTTTGACACCGAAATTAAAGTCCTTCAGAGTGATAATGGTACTGAGTACATTGACGGTGAATTTCAAGTATATCTTAAGGCTCATGGTATTCTGTATCAAACCAGTTGTGTTGGCACTTCCGAACAGAACGATGTTGCTGAATGAAAAAAAACTGTCCTCTTTTTGAGGTTGCTCATGCCCTTATGTTCACGATGCGAGTTCTTAAACCATTATAGGGTGATGTTGTTCTCACCGCATATCTCATTAACTACATACCTTCTAGTGTCCTCTAGCTTCAGCACCCCCTTACCCTTCTTCCTCACTTGTCTGTACCCCTTCATTCCCTTCCTCCTAAAGTGTTTGGTTGTGTTTGCTTTATTCACCTTTTTTGTCCTACTAAGAGCATATTGGACCCCAAGGCTCTTCGATGTGTCTTCATTGGTTACTCCTCCACCCAGAAAGGTTACAAATGTTATGATCTTCACTATCGCAAAACTTATGTTACCATGGATGTCACCTTTTGTGAGTCTTAGCCGTTCTTTGAGGACCAATCTCTTCAGGGGAAGGTTTCTTCAACGGAAGAGGTTGTTTCTTCTGATCCATTTTCTAATATTTGTTGTGAGGGAGAGGAGGCGTCGTATTGTGAGAAGGATATGAGTAAGTGTGTTTAGGGAGAGTTTAGTAGGTTGGATAGACCAGATTGTGTTCAGGGGGAGTCTAGTAGGTTGGATAGACCAGATTTAGCTCAGAAGGAGTCTAGTAGGTTGGATAGACCTAATCTTCAGACTACTCTCGGCGACGAAGAGAACAGTCGACCTATGTGCCGCCATGCCAATCATCACCTTCAACTCCAGTTCCTAATTCTTCTATGGAATCCTTAGGTAATGAGTCTTTGGTTACTTCTCCTACTATTTCTATTGATGATTCAAATCTTCCTATTGCTATTAGAAAAGGTGCTAGAACTTGTACTCAACATCCTATTTCTAAATTTGTGTCATATGATTCCTTATCTTCACCATATTGTGCTTTTGTTTCGTCTTTGTCTTTTGTCCCTATTCCTCATAATTGGAAGGAAACACTCACTGATCCTAAGTGGAAAGAAGCTATGGCAGAGGACATGAGAGCTCTGAGTAAAAATGGCACTTAGGAGTTAGTTTCTCTACCATCGGGTAAAAGACCTGTGGGTTGCAAATGGGTGTTTACAATCAAGCAGAAGGCTAATGAAACTATTAAGAGATATAAGGCGAGATTAGTTGCTAAAAGGTTCATTCAGACTTATGGCATTGCTTATCAAGAGACCTTTGCTCCGGTGGTTAAAATGAATTCTATTTGTGTCCTTTCTTGTACCGCAAATCTAGGTTGGCCATTACAATAGCTTGATATAAAGAATACTTTTCTCCATGGTGATCTAGAAGAAGTGTACATGGATGTTACTCCAGGTTTCTCTTCTTCGGTCACTGAAGGGGAGGTTTGATGATTAAAAAAGGCTTTGTATGGATTGAAACAGTCTCCTAGAGCCTGGTTTGATAAGTTTCTTAAGATGATGCTCATATTTGGGTACAAGCAAAGTTATGTTGATCATACTATGTTCATCAAAAAGTGTGGAGATAAAATTGTTATTCTTCTTGTCTATGGGCATGAAATAATGGTGACGGGTAACGATGTAGAGGAGATGTCCCAAATCAAGGCTCGACTTTCTAAGGAGTTTGAAATCAAAGATCTTGGTTCTTTGAGGTATTTTCTTGGGATTGAAATTGCTAGATCAGATAATGGTATCTTTATTTCTCGAAGGAAGTACTTCTTGGATCTACTTGAGGAAGTAGGTATGTTGGGATGTAGACTAGTAGATTCTCCTATTGAGACCAATCACAGACTTAGCAGTAGTGATGGAGATTGTGTAAATAAAGGAAGATATCAGAGACTTGTAGGGAGATTAATATATCTTTCACATACTAGGCTAGATATTGCATATGCAGTTGGTTTTGTAAGTCAATTCATGCATGACCCTTGAACAGGGAATTTGGATGCAGTTAATCGGATCCTCAGGTATCTCAAATCAACACTTGGAAAAGGAATCTTCTTCTCTAATCATGATTATTTGAAAATAGAGGCTTTCACTGATGAAAATTGAGCTGGTGCAACTGATGATAGGCGGTCTACTTCAAGTTATTGCACTTTTGTAGGCGGTAATTTGGTGACTTAGAGGAGTAAGAAGCAAGCTATTGCGGCCAAATCAAGTACGGAAACGGAATACCGAGCAATGGCAAATGAACTCTGTGAGCTCATGTGGCTTCAAATGTTATTGGCTAACTAAGGATTGTTGAATGGTGGACCAATGCTATTGTATTGTGATAATAAGGCTGCTATTACCATTGCTCATAATCCTGTTCAGCATGATCGGACCAAGCACATTAAGATAGACAAACATTTTATCAAGGAGAAAATTAGTGGTGTGATTTGTATGCATTTTGGGTAATCCGAAGATCAGTTAGCTGATATTTTTGCTAAAGGGTACTAGTAAGGTCATTCATCCCATTGTGTGCAAGTTGGAGCATAGGTATAGTGTGTGCAAGTTGAGCATGAGAGATATCTACGCACAACTTGAGGGGGAGTGTTAAGTTAAATGAAAGATAGTTTTGTCCTTATGTACTACAAAGGGAAACCCTAATCTAAGGTTTTGTGCCTCTTCCTAATAATAATTCTCTCTTTTTTATTTTTCTCTTCGCTCCTCTCAATCTTAAACTTGTTCTTATAATTTTAACTGTAATATAATAGCATTAAAAAAGAGTGACATTGTACCGGCCATTACGGTACCTTAACAAGTGGTATTGGTCATTAGTTAGCCAATACAGCCGTTACAGACTT